AATACTTTTCGAGATTGGCTATCGGACACGAGTTTTACGACTTGTAATGCCAACATTCGAAGCTTTTACGATAGAGATCTCCTTTTTACGATTTTTAATTTTCATTGTCGAAAATTTTTTATTAATATCTCTCTTGTTGGTTGAAAAAAATATTCAAAGCTGAATTTTTATACTCCATCTCTATCTCAACTTTTTATCATCGAACTCTCTGATTAATCAATTATAATGCCTTTCGAGATTGGCTATCGGACACGACTTTTACGACTTTTAATGCCGAAATTTTCTTACCAAGATCTCGCCTGTTAGTCGAAAAAATAATATCCGAAGCTGAATTTTTATACTCCATCTCTATCTCAACTTTTTATCATCGAAATCTCTGATTAATCAAATATAATACCTTTCGAGATTGGCTATCGGAGTTTTACGATTTATAATGCCGAACATTGCCAGCATTCGAAGCTTTTGCGTTAGAGACCTTCTTTACACAACTTTTACGATTTTTTCATTATCGAAAATTTTTTATTAATATCTCTCTCGTTGGTTGAAAAAGATAACAAATATCCAAGCTAAATTTTTATACTCGAGAGATTAATCAAATATAATATCTTTCCAGATTATATCAAGATTATCTCATTAATATTTCACCAATATCTCGCTTATTATTTGAAAAATATACCCATCGAAATCTCTGATCAATCAAGTGACACAATACTACCTTTCGTCGTCCTCCAAGGTGTAGGCCATCAGGGCTGCCCCTTTCTCGACGGTGGCGCAGGTGGATCCGAGATGGGACGGCGCCTTGCCCGTCATAGGGCTGGCGAAACACTTTCGTTGCCTATGCCTCGAGACGATCAGAAATATCGCCACGGCGAGAAGCAGGATCACGGCCGTTAACACGCCGATCACCACCGCCATGTAAGTAGGATCGTCGTGTTTCGCGGTCGAGACCGGAAGCTCGCCCTCCGCGGCACCGTTCTTCTCCACGAAAACGTCGCTCTGGATCGGGGACTCGGTCGTCGGTGCTTCCTCCGGCGTGAAATTACCGTGAGCGATATCTGCGTGAAAATAATCAGACTTATGACGTATCTCATCATGGCGAGTGTAAAATTAATGAATAATTTTCTTTACAGTTTTTATTTTCATCTCTTCTTTATCGTAAGTAGAGCAGACTCTCCTATAATTCATATAATACACGCGATATATATATATTTTTTTTAAATCGGTAACACGAATATTTATCTTTATTATGTTTGACGAAAGATGGATGATAAGAATTGATATAACTCCGAATATATTCTTGCATGCGGCACGATCATCTATAATAGGAATACAAATTAATTTGCATACGATGAGTGTATTCGTCGTAACAAGAAAAAAATTGTTTTATAACTGAGTCATTCTGTGATAGTCTATTGTACGAAAAAAATTTATCATTGTGGATCGTTATCTTTTCACGTTATTCAAGTTATTCTTAGAACGTAGAGAAGTATAAGTAAATTGATAAATGAGACGAGAATTTGTCTCTCGACTTTTAAATTTATTCGATCCGAATTATGTTGTATTAAAAAAGAATCTCGTTTCTCGTTTCAACTTATCGTCCATTCAGTCTTATTATATTCCATTAAAAAAAAATCCTGGCTGGTTTTGGATCGTGTTCAAGGATTCGCAAAGGATCGTCCCTCTTTTCCTTTTTTCACGGGATCCACACTCCGCTCCCGTCCAATATTTGGGGCAGAAAAACATTGACGTGGAAACCGGCGGAATCGTTAAAAGATAGTCGAGCGCGTATGGAGCGCATAATCAACCTGTATGCGTTCTAATGGAAAAAAAAAAACGGGCAGCATTCCGCTTCGAGTTTTCCATTTGCTTGATTGAAACGTCTCTCTGAACGATTCGATTGTCTAATTACTTCGTTCTCTCTCCCTCTCTCTCTCTCTCTCTCGTGAATGTATATAGCCATAGCGCGCAGGTTTTGAATAATTTCCGGCTCTCGTTGCCTCGTCGTTGGAAAAACGCCACAGGAGAACAGCCAGCTGGGGAACGAAGGAACGAACGAACGAATAAAAATATTTCGGGCGGACACAGAGAGTGGTGTCACTCGAAAGGTGCGACGAGAATCACGTTTCACGCTGTCACAAGCAATTAAACGCGGGGTGTACGGGTCTTGAACGAATTTCCTTGACGCGAGACACGTGTTCCCGCAGTTTTTACACCACCCTTTTATCCCGACTGCGCGCGTAAACATCCTATTACACGACGAATTACGAATTTTATTAATTTAATTTAATCTTTAATATTTCATTCTTAATGATTATATTTTTTAAGTGAACAGCGATTCGCCTACGCGTCATTCAATCGAATATAAATATCTCGAATAACAATTTATTATTTTCTGTATTTCAGATAGAGAAATTTATCGAGAGATTTTATTTCATTTCTTTTCACGCGATCATACTGTCATCGTTAAAATGTATACGTACATTTAATCGAAGAATAAAGAGTCGCTATTTCCATAGAAAGTCACTTAAGAGAAAACTGTCTAAACTTATAATATTAAAAAAAAAAAAAAAAAAATATCTCTCGATGAGATTTCGAGCTGCTTTACTGCTTTTGGAACGCCGTCGAATCGAATCGAATGAAAAGAGAGCTGGGCGAAAAATTAACGGGGCGACGCGAAACGCGCCACCGATAAAAACCCAACTGACATTCCTTCTTCCCTTCCTTCCTTCCTTTCTTCCTTTCTCCCTCTTTCTCTCGTTTCATTGCGCGGAAATTTTTCCCCCGTGAACTCAGCGAACTCTATCTCTCCGTGGTTTGTTTCGTTAAATAAAATCTTGGCAGACATCATCCAGAGGCGACGTAACCGAGGCGGAAAAGGGTGGCGAAAAAAAGGAGGATCGCACAAGTGGTGGATTCACAGATGAAGCGTTCCCTTCCCCGGTTCACCACCGAGTTTATACACGTGTATATATATATATATTTTCTGTGTGAATTCCTCGCAGGAATTATATATACCGAAACAAAGCTGTCGTCGCGTTTGATATCGGCTTTTACGTGGCAAGCGTTCCCCCCTCTCTCTCTCTCCTGTCGCCTTCCACGAACCGATCCATACGTACATACATCCCGTATGAAATCTGATATTAAACATTCTTCGCAAGGGTTAACCGTGAAAAAGAGGTTTCGTCTCGCGAAGCCCGACACTCTCTTTCTCCCGTTTCGTTCTAGTAATCTAACGTGTAATGCATAGCATAGGAGGCGAGGGGTGCATCACGGTGGCGGTCGAGGTTTTCGCATTTCACCTCGTTTCGTGAGGAGAGGATCTGTTGATCAGGATAAGGAAGATGGTTTTTTGATCGGTAGTTTTTGGTGGTTCTTCGGACGATGGATGAATTTGACGGAGAATAAAAGTGGTTTGGTCTCGGAAACGAAAGGTGACGATGAACAAGTTGGACAGATTGACTATGACGAAAAAGATGGTTTTTTGATCGGTGGTTTTTGGTTGTTCTTCGGACGATAGATGAATTTGGCGAAGAATAAAAGTGGTTTGGTTTCGGAAAGGTGACGATGGACAAGTTGACCAGGATAAGGAAAATAGTTTTTTGATGATTGTTCTCCGGACGATGAATGAATTTGGCAGAGGATAAGACTGATTTGATCTCAGAAACGAAAGATGACGATGGACAAGTTGACCAGGATAAGGAAGATGGTTTTTTGATCGGTGGTTTCTGATGGTTCTTCGGACGATGAATGAATTTGGCGAACGATAAAAGTGGTTTGGTCTCAGAATCGAAAAGTGACGATGAACAAGATGATCAGGATAAGATGGTTTTTGGTTGTTGATCTTCGGACAATGAATGAATTTGGCGAACGATAAAAGTGGTTTGGTCTCGAAAAAATAAGGTGGAGATGGAGAGCAATTTTCGCGAAGCCAACAATCGCGAGAAACGATGAATTGTAACAATGGTGATTGATCGGCGGTACTCGAATAATTGTCGTACATAATTAATCCCTGTGTGTACAATTGATCGATGGTACACAGGATCGAGATGATTGGAAAAAACGAATTTCTGGTTTCCATTTCCATTCTCCTCCGCCACTCGAGAAGGAAAGGAGGGTGGAGCAGGAAATGCGATTCCGTCGGACACCTCTCGAGCGTTCCTCTCGATTGATACTACTCCCTCTTGGCGAGCGAGCTCTTTTCTTTTTTTTTTTAAATTAAAAAGCCTGCAACGGTATTAAACAGCGGTCCCATTTTTAACGCAACAATTAAATTCTTGTCACGGGTCACGCGTGTGCAAAGGACTTCAAGTGTCATAATCGGAATCGAGTTTCCAATTAAAATTCTTTTTATCCCGGTGCCTGCTCGTTACACACGTCGCCCCCTCCCTCGCTCAATCGGCCTTGCCGATTAATCGACCGACTCTTTTCTTAACCGTGGGGTTGACAACCTGTTGTTGCAATTGTGAAACATCGAGAGTGTCGTTGTTTATCGGATGTCGATGGAAAGGAAAGCGTATCGAGAGAAAGACGACGTGTACGTGGATCGCGTCTCGCCTGTTGTTACAAATTTATTATTCGTTTGCGAATTCAATGGATTTATTTGAAAATTGATAATTGTGATAAACCTCGATATACATCTTGTACATATTATTTACAGATAGAAGAATTCGTCGTACAAGTCATTGTACGATATTAAAAATAAGATATTTATATGTTGGAGAGTTATTGAATCAAAGTATGATTTACGAGTTACGAAGTTCTTGGAAAATTTCTTTTCAAATGATCACGTCTTGTACATCTTAGTTTTAGAAGAAGAACGAAACTTTCAGGAATGCCAAATTCCTCTTTACAACGGAAAATCGTAATTAAATTATAATTTTAAATAATCCCATCGAGGCACCGATTTCAACGATCCGCACATTGTCGAAAATTCAGCGGAGTTGAAGAAATCGGAGAGAGGGGGCTGGAAATAGAACGGCGAGAGTTGCTCGACTAAATATTTTCCAACCGCTTCCTCCCTCGATTCGAACCGAATTCCCGTTTAATTATAGCGGGACCCTCTCCCGTCCGTCGCGATTATTTCGCCATCAAAACAATAACAGAGAGCCTGCTCTGGTTGCGCACACCATACGCTCGCCTCTGCCACGGTAGCCAGATTTACGATTGGATCAGGACGCTGCGCGATTGCGACAAGGGTGGGCCATAACTTACGTAGGTGGATCTTCCGCGTATAAATCATCGGAGTGCGGAGAGTGAGGGGGACGCCTTTCCTCGATGCCTTTCGAGGGAATGAAAATAAAAAGAATCGAAAATACGCGGAGGGGAGGAGTCGTTCGGTTAAGGAGCCTCGTTTCCTTTTCGTTCTTTTCGTTCTTTCGCCATTTTCCTCGGCCCTCGCCTTTCTTCTTCTTCTTCTTCTTCTTCTTCTTCTTCTTCCCGTAACAGCCTCCGTTGTCGCGAGAGAAAAAAGGAGGCTGCACGTGCTGCACACGCACAGCTGACGCTCCTCCCGTCAAATGCAACTAATGCGCCCCTTGATCTCGCGGCGCGTTCCTCTCTCGCCAGCGAGGGGAAAAGAAGGAGGAGGAAGGGTGGACGATTTTAAAAGCGCTTTTGATTCACGCGAACTTCACTTTCGTGCCTCGACCTCGTTTTCGAGCAGAGATCGCGGTTAATCGGAGCGGATCCGGATTGTCTCGTGAAAGGATGCTTTTTATTTATATAAAACCGGTATCTTTCTATATTTCCGATTTTACCTCGTTTTCTCGCCAGGTTTAATATCGATCTCTTTCTCGAAGTTTTCTCTTCGAGCGATAATTTGTATAAAAAATGAAACGAGATAGGAAATTTTAGGACAAAGTTGTCGAATAGGATCGACACGCCGATTAATTTCAACTCTCTAATTATTTAGCGACTCGTTTTTCCACGCGTTTGCGATCCAAACAGTGAGACGTTGGATGGTAATGGGATTATTAACGGGGTAAGTTTAAGGGAAATTTTTCCTCTCTTCTGTCGATTAATAATCGAGTATTCCGGCGCGAGGAAGAGCAGAAGAAGGCTGAGCTGGGACACCGATGTTTCGAATATTTAAGGATGAGTGATCCTCGGCTGGATCATTTTTACGATAGCCACGGTACGAGGAGAAGGAAAAAGGAGGTTGAAATACCAGCTGGCAAGCAGGTCCAACTTCTCGTATTTCCTCGTCCAATTACCTCGTCCCTTCTTCCCGTGGAGGGAAGCGAGAAGAAGCTACTACGAGAAGAAATGTCCCGGTAGAGAAAGAATCCGGTCATCCATTACGATGTTCCTCCTCCATTTTCTTCCATCCCTTTGTCCTCTCTCTTTTGTGGATGGACGAAAGGCTCGAAAGGCGTGGATCGAACGATTGTCCTCGAGGGCCGAGGAATTGCGAGGAAATAAACGACTGTCGATAAACTTTTTAACGAATCCCTTTTGACGAGCAACACTCGCGAAACACTCGATTCCCGCCAATTTCTCCTTTTCTTTCGAGCACCCTCCCTCTCATCGCCACCAACGATTCCTCTCCAGACGTTGCCTCGTCGTTATCCCACGAAACATCGATGTTTTCGAACGAAAGAGGGCGTCTCGAAAATTTTTCCCTCTGGGAAAAGATTAATCGATTATTATTTTCGATCTTCGAGCGTTCGTTGTGACGATCAATTTTGGACGAGGTTACACGTTTTTCGATGTAATTATTCCTGTGCTCACATTTAGGTAGGGTGTGCCATTTTTCTTCTCCATTTCATTCTCATCCACCCTTTCGTTTCCCTTTTCTTTCGAGACAAACGAGCGTGGATCATGGATCAACGAGCGTGAATTTCACGAGCTGGGCACGCGAACCAGATTCCTTCTATGAAATTATCTCCTGTCCAAAAGAAGGGGAGGAAAGGGAAGGGTCCGGTTTCGAGGAAGAGACGAGGAAAGGGATTGGCGCGCCCCTCCTGTTGTACGGCAAACTTGCGTATAATAATAATAAAGTGGTAGTAGGGCGATGACGCGTCATTAGCGATAACCTTTGTTTCGAGCAAAAGTTTTCGTTTACCTGAGTAGTAAGCTGAAAACGGGATCTCGATAGGATCTCCTTTCGCCAGGGCGTTTTCCCTCGTGAAAGGATGGAAGCGATTAAGGAAAGGGCCCTTTCACCGCCATCATTTATTATTCCTCCGAAGAAGAAAATCCTGATAATGACTAATCCTTTATTAGCCTTGGTACAATATCTCAACGATAATATCCTCTACCCTCGATGGAGCGTTTCCCCTAGACTCTGCGACTCGCAGAGATTAAACATCCTCCTTTCTCCGATGTCCATTTTATTACGCATAAATATTTAAAGCAAACTCCTCCTCCTCCTCCTCCTCGAGTATTATTATATCCTCCAAATACTCGGGCTGGTATCGATTCGAAGATTCCCTTCTCCCCCCTCCTCAGTTGCGTTTTCCAGCTTTTTCCACCCGGTTATTTGCTCCAAGGGAAAATTGTTCGCCGTTCCATGTACATCCTTTGAGATGGAAAAACAGCGGACGACGGAACGCGGCGAGCGGAAGAGTTTTTTCGTGCCCACTTTATGAACCTGTTGTTAGGTGGGCAAATCTCGCTGACAAAGGAACCTTTGTGCCACGGGGATACCTCTCCCGTATAATGCTAAATCGTCTTCCCATCCCCCCCGCGGGATTCTTCGTTCGCGGTCTCGCGATCGCGTTATCATCGATACATCCGCCGCGTGTTTTTTAATTAAGAACGTGCGGGAGGAAAGGAAAGGAAACAGCAGACGAGAGGGATCCGAAAAACGCGATTACACGCGTGATATACGTGGATATCGAAGACTACGATTCTCTTTTTCCCTCATGCATCGATTCTTCCGCCCGAACAGCGTCTTTGAAGTCTATTTAGAACCGCTCTTTTGGGTTAAATGATAAAGCTCGAAAGTCGAGCTTTCATTTGACACGGTTTGTGAGAGAGGGGAGAGGGAGAAAGAGAGAGCACGCTGTTCAATTGTTCGGTGATTCGAGCACCGTTGCGTTTAATTCCTGGCTACGGTTTACACAAAGAATTTTTCTTCACGGAACCGGGGAAGAGGAGCAGGAGGAGGAGGAGGAGCAGCAGTTGCCGCTCGCTCGGAAACGAAGAGAGAGAGAGAGAGAGAGAGAGTTTTAGTTTCGCGTTTCGTTCCTGTTGTTCGTTTTT